ATGAACTTGAAGATTTATACAGTGACAAGCATTAAAGCTTTGGACTATATCTTTCATATCGATGCGTATTTTATTTTAGTTCACTTTGACTGTTTATACTTTAGCTTAAATGATGTTGGTTTACATTCTAGTAAATGGGTTAGTTGTAACCCTTTGAAATGTTATCGTATTATGTATTGTTGTTAATACAAGTATGAATATTATTTTTTATCTGTCAATGAAATTATTTAATATCACTTAAATAGTTGGTATTAGTAACAGTTATAATAAATGTAAATGTTGGTTAAAATAAGCTATTACCGACAGAAAAAAATGTTTGGCTCACAGATTTTTTTGTCAGTAATATAACTTTTAGCGACAGTTATAATAAATGTTAATGTTGGTAAAAAGAAGGTATTACCAACAGAAAAGAAGGATTTACCCACACTTTGTTTTGTCGGTAATTCATTTTTTTAGCGACATATATGTTTTGTCGGTACTTCTCTCTGTTTTAGCGACATGTTTGGTCTGTCGCTATTACACTATTTTAGCGACAGTATATTTTATCTGTTGGTAATACTTTTACTGACGGAGTTTTTAGCGACAGCTTAGCGACAGACAATTATCTGTCGGTAAAAGCGAGTAGCGACAGATATTTAACCATTAGCGACATATTGACCCCTGTCGGTATTGCCTTCTTTTTTTGTAGTGCATGCGTAGTTGCACACACTTATACCACATACACAACGATGATGAATATGTGATTAACTTGTCTAGGTCAAGTAGCTCATTAAGGTACATATATAATGTGAGTGGTAGTAAAAGAAAACCTACTGGAGTACATTTCGAGTGGTTGCCTTGATGTTGAAACAAAAAAGTCAAGGTCTTACTAACCTACTCTTCCTTACTTACATATTGCATATACAAAATTCAAAAGCCAAAAAAATGTACCTAGCCATTCACAAAAAAAAACATTGGTCTTATGAAACACACTTAGTTCATTTTTGAAGATGAGAACTCTTCTCCATCTTCACTCATGAACTGAGGCAATACTTGGTCTTCATTTTGCACAAACCTATTAGCCAGCACCCTTACTGTCTTCTCCAATAGTGTTTGGGGTACATTTAGAGTCACTGCAAGTGTTCCTTCTCTAGCTAATCTGTCCTTTGCCATATATTTATGGTAGCTTGTACTTGTTTCCTCCATCATTATTCATTACTTCCTGCATCACATGTTGGTAGCTCAACCATACCTTGTTCAATGTTTGTGGA